GATTCAAAGTTAAAAAATAACCCCAGATGGATCGTCGTTTACATACGATAAATATGAATATCATTGAACGACATGATCCATACCTTTGCCTTACATTCAGGCTCAGGAATTACAATTCCACCTGTTTGAGTGTGGCACACGTCGTATGTATGATTCTACGTTTTACACCGAATGGATCGCATCGAAAATACCAGATATTTACCTTTATTCCTCCATCATCTTCATTACGGTTTGAAAAACAACGCATGCGGATCACATTCCAATTGCCAGTTTGGGCAAATATTTTCCACTTTTTCATGAAATTTTTCAGTTTTATTCCGATAAACTTCTTTATTTAATTCTACTCATTGTTTATCAACAAAATTTCTCTCTTACAATAAAAATGCGAATTTACTTCAAAATTTCCAATTGCCAGTCGATTAGCGTGAGTGGTGGCTTCGCTCTTTGATGTGGCTCTGAAAAATGAAACAAAAGTATTATGAAAATGCATATTTCAATCACAATTGCTGAATTTGATTAAAAAAAAAAAAAAATTCAATTATTTGAAAAAACGTTCCCTTACTTATCATGGCATAATGTTGTTCATTCTGAACTCGTAAATAGTCCATGTATTCTTCGACTTTGATTTCGCCGAAGACCATCATCTCGGGCAGCCACACCAAGTCCATTGATCGTTTAACGTCCTCTAACAATGCATTGAATGCTTTTTGAATGTCAATTGCTACGCCATCCAATTCCAAATCGACCAACGACTTCAAAATATCATGGGTTTGTTGTTGTTGTCCATAAATCGTGAGAGCCGATGTATAAATGGCGTCGATTAAAGCGATATCTTCGAATGGGTTGCCTTCTTTCAAGCTCATCAATTTGCGTTCATGTTTCCGTTTACTTTTGCTCGATCTGAATGATTTACCGGTGCCTCTGGAGCTGCCCGTGAACCGCGATGAATTCATACTCGTTGTGTCTGAGAACATATCGCAATCATCATTTTCTCCATCGCCATTCAACAGCTTTTCGGCCTTTTCTTTGCGAACCGTTTGCAATCGCGTTACTTGATATTTGAATTGTGTTTGGTTGGCCTGGATTTTTTCAATGGTTCGACTCGCAAATTCATTCAGATGATTTCGAACGAAGTCATTTTGTAGCTCAGACACATTTGCTGCCTCCATAATTGCCTTTTGGTATAGTCTTCCATCGCATAGTACTTTGATGAGTTGCTCACTGTTTGGATTGAAGTACCGGATTAGATCTGCGGCTTCTTCGGATCGATTGTTCTCTTGCAGAGCGGGTAATAATGATCTGGAAAGGGTGAAGATGGAGAATTTATGAAAATGGGTGAAAAGAGTACATAGAACCGTAGTCAAATAGGAGAAAAACGTAGCCAAAATGGGAGAAAATGATGAAACTATAGTTTCTTTCAAGTTTATAGACTGAAAAATTGAAGAAAATAAGAAAATTCCAATGAAAATTAGACTCAAAACTTATGAAAATAACGGGTACAAGGCAAACTTTCCCCGACCAACCTAAAATCATCAACAAAAAAAAACTACACCAAAAATCCACTCACAAGCAAATATTCTCCGTTTCTTCCTTCGAGTATGAGCACTTAGTCGCCAATCGCAAGCACTTTTTCCAATCCAATGTGTGTTTGGCCGACAAAACGGCTTGTTTAAAGTCACTGCCACGTTCATACATCAAAGCGGCCTCATAGAACATTCTCTTTCCACGCAAATGGTCGGCATATTGAATGACAATATCATTGTAACATTCATCGCTCGATTTAAACAGCCGCAGCGCTTGTGTGTACAAATTATGCTTCTCAATCAGATCCAAGCATTCTTCCAGTTTCTCCACGCCACATTTCACGATGTGTTCCAATGCTTTGCTGTACCTCTTCAAATGGTTATCAATTCGATATTTGCGATAATTTTCCTCCAATTGTTTCAACTCATTCAAAAATGGTAGATATTCCTTGGGATCTTTCTGTGATTTTTGTGCGACAAACAGCACCAATTCGAAATCGTACATTCCCAATGCGACGTCATACAAATCATTCACATTCACCAGATAGAGCAAGTATTTCAACGCTTCCTGTGCACTGACCGCAGCTTTATTCCCTTCGGTTGGATTCAATTCAGTTTGACGAACGCGCCACAGCATTTCCAATGCCTTCTCGAAATTCTTCCGTTTCACGTGTGCGGTGATCGTTGGCAAGAGGTGTTTTACCGTTGAATCTTGTTCGAAAACATCGCAGAATTTCTCACAAATGACTTGGACTTTGTTTGAGTCAGCGAACGCAGTTTCAACGCAACGATTCTTCAGATGTTGATAGTTACTTGCGTACATGGTCGTGGTCACATCTTCATTGAGTAGATCGGATAAAAATAGATTCAACCATTGAATATTATCAATATCCATAATAAACTCGGGAATATGTGCTAAGAAATCGACTGGATTGTGATCGACCAAAAGATTCAAATTGATCCGTTGTTTGCGCAGCAAATCAAAGGCTTTACGATACGAATGAGCGTCCAGGAGTTCACCAATGATGACCAATGAAAGAACACGCGGTTGAATCGTTTCCAAATTGCCTCGTGGCATTTGCAGTACTGTACGTGAATCATGTGAAACGGATGTAACCAATCGACCACCTCGTTCGATTCGACGCTCGTTGATCACTTGATTCCCGTCCAATCGAATGAATTTCAATTGGTCGAGCGTCGTGAACAGGATAAACTGCTCGGTCAACAGGAATGATGTTACATCCGAAGCCACCTTGTCACCGTCAACATACAGATTCTGTTGATTTTTCAATGCAATCACTTTCACCACGTCATTGATCGTGACACAATCGATTCGCTCACAGAATGTGTTCACGTCGAATAAGAATTCACGCTCTTGCAATTCGGAATTTACGACCTCAATCGATCCGAATTTGCCACAAGTCAAATGATAAATAATTTTCGAGCTCTTGTCAGAGCCAACTAAATTACCAACAATTCCATCGATTGATTCTTCACTCAAAATATTTAATTGACCTTGGGCGAGCTCAGCGAGACACAGCACCGTTGCATCGTCTTTGATGTAACTGAATATTACTTGCGAATCATTCAACCATATCCAATGCTGGTGGAATAGAGGAGCAATGTTATCTTGAGTTATTTTATAACTTTGTATCAATTTTGTTTCTTCGATTAGGTTGATGTTTCGTTCGGGATTACGTTCAAAAGTACACTCAAAAGTGGAGAATGTATTCGTGGCATCGACGATGAAGAATTGATTGGAATTCGATGCATTGGATGGCTGACGAATGAATCCAGCGTAATTGATTGGTGATAAATGGGCCAACGTGGAACCGCACATTGGCGGAGGTATCACAGCACCACGGAAATTAGTCAATAGCAGATTTTCACGATCGATTACGGCAACAAGCGTTTGGTCGTCACCGGTCGAACCAGTTGAACGGGCAATTGAATGATCCCATCTGAAAGGATAAAAACATGGAAAATTTTAATTTTTTCTATAGAAAAAAAAAACAAATTGAATGGAAAAATTGAAATAATGGACAATGTCCATAATTATGCATAATTATGGGCAAGATGCCTGGATTTTTCTTTAATTTCTACAATTTCTTCGACGGAAATTCTTTTTTATATTATTTTTATTTTATTCCCTATGAAATAGTTATTATTTTCGAATATAAAAATTTATCGTTTAGGTGAACAAAAATATCTTTTGTGAGTCCATTCACTGAATACATATCCCACTTAATTAATTATGTTGTCTAAATGCGTCATTTAAGCGAGATAAAGTTTTGCAATGAGTTAATTCAATGTGTGAATGCGCCTACATGACCGACAATAAGTGGCATTGATAAGCCAACGTTCAGAGAAAAACATGTTAACCCATGCAAAGCGACGTTTTCATCTGGTCCAACATATTCAATGAATATTGTTCATGTACCATTGTACATGTATGATGTGGAATATGATATGATCACTTGAACGCTTTTAAAAAAAATTCTCATTCAAAGCGGGTTAAAATGCCAACGGCTGATTTCAATGTGCAACTAATCATACATGTAAACACTTCAAAGAGTATTTACGATGGCAACCATGTAGTAAAATTACTAAATAGACAGCATATCAGTGACTCAGTTTTGTAAGTGCGCTTATGCATCTTACGCGGGAAAATGGCCCTTGAATTAACGAATTCAATGACTTAATAATAATAGAAAAAAATGTAATTAAAATTTATTCGATTCAAATCAGAATAACGCAATATAAAAATCATATCTTAAATGAAGTTGATTGAATTTGAATTGCTTCTAAAAAAAAATTGTGACTTCCAAAAAAAAGAAGCATTAAAGATGCCACACACATGTGAAAAAATGTGTTAAAATGCTGTTTTTAGCGAAAATGTGCTTTTTATTCGATGAAAAATGGTGTTTTTCTTTAATTTGATTCAGCTTATTGCATTCAGCAATATGAGAAAGAAAATTTATGTGATTTTCCTATCAAACAATGAATGCGATATATTTTTTTATGATTACCCATGTTTTTGCGCATATATTAAAAAAATGATTGAATGACGACTGAATAACGATATTTTTACAAAATTAATATTTTCTTAATCACACTTATTAATTTTGTGTATTATCCAACAGTTCACACTCGCGAATTTATCCAAAAAACCATATTAAGCTATTTGAACGCACTCATTTTTTCGAGAATCCAATAATTTCCTTTTTAATTTTGACTGAAATGTTTAAATGCTTTGACCAAAGTAACTATCAAATTGTAAACACAAACTAAAGGTGATAAATTGTAAAAGGGATTTTTCCTGTTATTTACACCTCATACTCAATAAAAAATAAAATAAAATAAAATAAATCGTATGAGTGTAATATGTGATAAAAAGACTATATATAATAAAGAGCTTGGGATAAATATTTAATTCAATTTGTAATTTGAAGTGAATGAAATCAGTTGGAATTTTTCCGAGAATATTATTTCCAAGACGTGATTTTTACTGAAGAAAAAATAAATTTAAAGCAATTTGGTTCCATTCGGAACAGTGACCGTAATGTGGTGGTTATCTGTTTGTATATTGTGTGTAGTTATAGTGGGTGAATTCAAGTGTGACGCAATTCCAGGATCACATTTTGGACATGGGCTTCAAATTGGATCCGCCAACGATGCATCATTTACATTGCTTCCAGCTAATCTGTCGAAGCTGGAACAAATGTTAAGCGATGAAGATGTAAAAGATCGTGAAGTGGCGGTCATTTCAATTGCGGGCACAGTAAACCTGGGGAAGAGCTTCCTAATGAATTTTTTCATACGGTTTTTGGAAGCAGAGGCAAGGCGAATTTAATTTTAAGATGATTTTTTTTTTGAAATTTCTAATTGATTTCTCAGAAATATTCAAAAATTTATTTTTAAAAAATTCCGTTAAAATTTTTAATATCAAACTTGGTCGAGTGTTGCCGTTTTGTTTGTTAAAAAATGTTTTCTTATTCTTTGTTTGAAAATTTCACAATAAAAATATATTTCCAAAATTATTATTTCATCTGGCAATTAGTGTGATCAACGAAACGTGTCGGATTGGGAGCGAAAAGACGAATGTATGAATGGTTTTGATTGGGGAATGATACGAACGAAAGGCATTTTGGTGTGGCCTCGCATATTCAAACGTACGCTACCAAACGGTACTAAAGTGGCGATCATTTTGCTTGATACACAAGGATTGAATTCGATCACAAGTGACAGTTTCAATCAAGATGCGCGAATTTATGCGTTCAGTGCGATGGCATCATCGGTACAGTGTTACAATGTGTTACGTGATTTGGACAGCCTGGATCTTGGTGCGTTGGACTTGTTCAGTGGATATGGTAGTTTGGCAGATAACAATAAACTTGTAAATTCAACCAAACAATTTCAAAATTTGAATATCATTGTACGAGATAAGCCGGGCGATGATGACGATTTCAAATACGGACATCAAAGTAATTCTGTAAAAAATTTGTATCTAAGCATTCTGCCAACGGACACAAACGCCAAAGAAGAACAAACGAAACGAATTTTCAAATACTATGAGAACATTGATTTGTTCTACATGCCATTCCCCGGTGAAGATGTTACCCAAACATCTTACTATGATGGCAATTTAACAGAGGTTAAATCACTATTCATTGCACATGTCGAAGACCTGGCCCGATCACTATTTGCACCACAAAATTTGGTCGTGAAAAATGTCGATGGAGAAGCAATTAAAGCAAAAGATTTTGTATCGTATTTGGATACGTACAGCAAGATGTTAAACTCCGATAAATTGCCCGATCTGGGCACGTATTTTCAGGTGAGAACCATACAATTAGTGAAATTTTTTTGAAATTTTTCTATTTCTATTTCATTTTTAATGTCAAAAATTGAAGAAAAAAAATTTTAATATGAAAAAAATAAATTTGTTGTAGAATATCTTGAATATCAAATATAAATCATGGCAAGAAGAAGGTTTGGAATCGTATAAGAAATCAATGCAGAATATGGTCGAAACATGCAGTCCCACAAATAACGTATCTTATTTTGATAACGATAAACTACTGGCAATTCATAATCAATCTAAGAATAATGCAATGAAAAAGGTTGGATTTTTGACTGATTTTAAACTTTGTTTGCATCATTTTTACCATTGAAATTTATTAAAAACATTTTTTTAAAAAGATTTTTACGAATTCACAAACAATTGTAGCATAATTTTTGGATAATTTCCTTTTTTTTTTTCATTTAAAAACACAGTTTTTGGTTCAGAAAAAGCTTAATTCAGAGGGTTATATACGTGAATATTTAACGGCAATCGACAAGAGTATTGAAGGTGAATTCAGAGAAAATTTCGAGAAGAAGAATACGGATAACGAATTATGCTTTTATGTATGTATTTAAATCCTTTGAGGATTTATTCATGGAAACATTTTTTTTATCTTGAACCCATTTTCTATCAAGTGTTTGAGTAATTGAACATTTTGATTAAAAAAATGGAAGGGTTGAACCAACGTTTGGTGAAAAATGGGTTGACGTCATTTTTGTGTGAACTATCTTTCCAAATTGAATATTATTCAATGAATAATTTCCATGGGTTTAATCACTGGCATTTCAGTCTAAAGTTAAACAATACTACACGGATATGGTGGAAGACATCTCCGATGAATTTGAAGAAAGGATTTTGAACAAAGTTAAAAATGCCGAATCTTTCATCGAACAAGAAGTTTTCAGTGAAATGAGGACAATTTATATCAAAAACGCCACCCTTGAGGTACGTAACTATTTTTGAAATATCAATTTATTTATTTTTTCTGACTAAAATCGATTTGTTTCTTGTTTCATTGTGATTCTGATTTACTTCTTGTTCCACAGTTTATGGCACGAGACAAGTACGCCAAGAATGATCCAAAGTATAAAATAGAACTGGCTCAAAATTCTATGGACAAGCTGAAACTAAAAATGGTCGAAATTCTGAAAACCGCCGAGACAATAAATGATTATAGGAAATCCATAGAGGAATATGGAAACGTTGCCATTCGATCCAATATTGCTGCGATATCGATATTTATTGTGATTGCTTTCATTCAAATCGGTAACCATTTATCGCATAATATTTAACATGATATCTTTACGTAATAACAAGCATGTATCCGATAACTTGAATTTGATTCATCAGCTCGTATTGAATTCATCATCAAAGCTCAACACATCAACTTAGCAGATGGAATCGAGTGATTCAACAAATCACTCTTTAGTGAAATATATCTTTATATTTATACATATGGAATAATATACAAAGAGATTATAAGTCTCCATAAAGAGATTTTTCATTTAAAAAATGCACTTTGGTTGAATACATCCGATTAATGTGCCAAAAGTTGTGTGCTGAGCTCATTGATAATGAATTTATTGCGCAGTAAGTTCTGTGATTCATCGAACTTTATTATCCACCATATCACATGGGCGAATTTTCTTAGAACGCTTTATCACATTTTTCTCTCGAACCGACTCCTTTTATAAAAAAAAAAAAAAAAAAAAAAAAAACCAAAAAAAAAAAACAAAAACGACTTGAAATTTTTCATCTAAAATCAAAAGTTCAGAGCCAAAAAAAAAAGTTACGAAAAAAAAATGTTAAAACTCACCGATAAACTGTGTACCGCAAATTGTCTTCAATCACATGTAACGATTTACCCTCTGAATAGTTGTTATCCCATTGAATGGCCTGACACTTGGCGCTAAATTGCAATGTTTGCTTTTGATACCAATGATAATTGCAAATTGTGTACAAATAAATGGTTGATCCATTCGCATGCTCGGTATAAATGGCCAAAATGTCTGAATCACTGCTCCAAAGTAATTGTTCGACCTTCTCTTGTTCTTTTTTGAATGGTAAAACAATTTCACGATGTCTCAATCCATTTTTCTCGAACAAAGCGATTGTGTACTTATTCGGTAGGACATGTGGAATTGCAATCCAATTTCCAGTTGGTCGCCAATCAATCGGTGCCTCCAAACCGGCTAATTTCTCTGATGTGTATTTCAACTTTCCTTCTTTGTCGAACACTTTAAACATTCGTCCGCTTTTTCCCACGAAGCTAATGGCAAAATATTCATCATCACCTCGCCACACGATCGAAATGCGTTGTTCCAATGCCGTAACATCGTCGACTGGAACATCATCTGGTTTCTTATGTGCCGCTTGTTTACCTTCAGTACCATGGAATTGTGTCTCTTTCTTGCCCCAACCAACATTGATAAACGCTTCATCGCCGAAACTGTCATCCAAAAGGTTCACCTCAGCAATTGGATCATAAGCACTGTTCATGACCACCAATAAATTGACTTGTGTCACGAATGCAACGACTTCTTGGTCATGCGACCATGTCATCGCCTTTAAACCACCTTCACAAAATGTCACCGATTCATTTGTCGACTGATGATAATTGTACACAATAACCTCACCCGCTTCCGTCGCCACACACAATTCATTATTCAACGATAGATGCTCAAAACCGACAATTTTATTTTCTAGCGGCGCAATTGCATTTATTTGTCGCTGTTCCCAGTCAAACGTTGATAATTGATCACTCGATGCTATGAATGTTGTACCAGCGGTTTCGGTACTCAAATTTATGTGATTCACCTCGCTCAAATCTAATTGAGCCGTTCGGCTGTATAATAATTTTAAATTTCGCATTTTTTCGGTGTAAATATTGTGCTTACGGTATTAAAAAAAACACACACAAATACGCGTTACACGTGCTTGAATGCCGTTCAAGTTTAGTGACAGCTGATGCGTAGCTCAAATACGTCAAATGTGCATGTTTGACAGTTCGGTCATTGGTTTGTGAACGACTTGGGCTTTACAACACTCGTGGTGACTTGATGGGCAATTTGAGATTTTGCTGTTTATGACATTCGATTGAATGAATTATGAACACAAAATTTGTATGGAGATTTGATTTTTATTTTATTTATTTGTTTGAGATATTTTTTTTTCTATTTTTTTTTTACTGTCAATTGCATTTTCAATTGATTGTGATTTAATCATCCAATTTTATGTACATTTCGTGTTTGAACTGTATTTTTGATTCAGTTGTTTTTTTTTTATAAGGAACATCCAAATTACAAAGTCTGAATTGGAGGAAAAATATTTGGAAAAAAATAGAAAATAAATAGAAATTTTCCGTAAAACTACATTTTAATAGAGATAGACTTTAATTGTAACTTTTTTGAACTATGATGGAATGATGAGATTCGGTTTTAAACACAGCTGATTGATAAAATGTAATAGGGAAACAAGGTCATCCGTTCGCGTTGATTAGGTGACTTCAATTGCTGTGCAGTTTGACTGCGTGTTATATCACTGGTTTGTATGCTGTTTGCCACTTCACTAGCCACTTCGTGTTAAAGTTGTACGTTTATGCGCTTATTTTGATCCACAGTCCTGTTGAAAAGAGAGGTTTAAAGTAATGTTTATTCACTTGTTTACCCATACTTTCAACTAATTATCTACTGATTGCTAATCAATGTTTGCGTTCATGGTCATAATGGTCATTCAACCGTTTAAAAACACTGATAAGTGAACATTTTGTTCTATACAGAATACAGAACACAATTTGCACTCTTTTTTTATTTGAATCGAAATTTTCATTCGGTCGACTGAATTTTGGTTATTTTAACCAAATTCGGTCTACTTCTAAATCTTACAGCATGCATATTTGCACATGGAATAGAATATTTAATCAATAAACATTGTTTATTGTATCAAACAAACAGAACGGTTTTATCCCATAGAAGAGCTGTGATACTATTGCACAGAGCAAGAACAACGCTTTCTAACCATGAGTAAACAATTATTTCCCAAACATTCACTTACATCAACAAAACATCGGTGTACTTCTTTCGTTCAGCCCGTTTGTACTTTGACCAAAATATTATGGCATTCTTCACATCATCCTCGGTCATTTCATCGTAAATCAGCTCGGGCAACAAGTGGTACAGGTGATCGGCATCCAATTCGATGAATTCATCCGAAGTAAAGATCATATCAAAATATTGATCGATGAACACAGCGGACAATCGAAGAAGTCGGTAAATTCGATGCTTTTTGGCAAACAAAAGCATATCGATGCAATTGTTTACCGTCAATTTTCTAGCCAGGTAAACGGAGCATATATCGATGATGTGATCGTATCGCTGTTCCAACGTCAACTTTCTACTTTGTTGTCGTCGTCGTCGTCGTCGTTGATAGCGATCAGTGCTTGCGATGACAGTGCAGCTTCTCATTTCTTTACATGGATTTTTTTTTTATTTATGACAACGAATCGAAATGGATATTGTTATTTTTTGGCGTTGAGAAATTTCAATTGTTAATAACAATTTGTTATTTACACGAAAAGCAACGTTTATTTGGACGAAACGACATCAAAACATATAAAAACTAATAATCAATTTTCAAATCAAATGATTTTTTCGTCAATACAAATGTGGATACAGATTAAACTTCAACAACTAAAAACTAAAACAACAAACTAATCTATAACTCAATGCTTTGTTATTACCGTATTCACATTTACGTGATTAAAAAAATATTTGACGTTGCACAATTCGCAGAGCAAAAAAAAAAAATGCGGGAGACGAGACTGACTTTACTTTTGTTCAGGAAGAGAGAATGAAATGTGATATGAACAAAACTATCGGTGTTTGCTGCGTTCGCTTGTTTGTTGTGAATATTTGGTAAGGCACTTTGACAGCTTAACTTTTGACTCAACGCAAAACACAGCGATATTCAGCAGAAAGAACGATGTGTGTGTGTGTGTATGTGTAAATTGCAAAAGTGCAATAGTGGAAAAATACGTACCCGATTAGCGCGCATTTTGAAGTCGATCGATTCTAGTTTCAAGATAAAACTTTCAACAATTTTGGGTTGATAATCTTGAAATTTAGCTTAAACTTTATTAAAATTTATTCAAATTTTTTCAACAAAAACTTTTATAATCTTTGTCATTCGATGGAATAGTTTTTTTTAAATTGAAAATAAAATCGTTTTTTGGTTGAATGAAACAAATCGGGCTTTTGATTGAACAAAATAATCGGAGATGGATTAGAGAAAAACGGCTTCTTTTGAAAAAAAAAAAAAGGTCAACAAAAGAAAAACGGCTTCTTTTGATGAAAAATTCTTTTTTCTGATAGAAAAAGTCCATATTTTGATTGCTAAACCAATTGAGAAGAAAATTCACTCTCTTTAATTTAAAAAAAAAATCAGTTTATTTCTGGTTTAATTTTATTTTTCTGGGGTTTGCTTAACCTAAACTGTGAAAATAGATTTTCTCTTAATAGCTAAATAATTCTTCGTAAACTTTACGAATATACTTCTATTCCATTTTTTTTTTTTCTAACAAAAATGTTACCGACATCGAGGTAATTTCTTTTTGCCGTAAATGCAATAACCTGACTTGTTATCTTTTAACCATGCGATAAAATTCGAAAGAAGAAAAACAAAACAATTTGTTTTTGTTAATAAAATTTCAAATGAAGTCTGTGTGTGTTTGAAATCCATTGGAAGAGTTAGCATTCTTCTAAATTGTACGAAATATGTAAAAAAAAAATACAAAAGTAGAAACGTCCATATTTTGTGAGCTGGTAAATAAAAAGAAAATACCAGGGAATTTACTAGCTTGTTCTGAACGTATGTTTGTGTGTGTGTGTGAAAAGATTTAATCATCGGATTTTTCCTTGTTTTTATCTTTCTTTTTCTTCTTCTTTTTCTCTTTCTTTGAAGCCTCATCGTCGCCGGCTTCATCATCTGGTTGTTCCTCAGTGGCTGCTGGTTCGGCTTCTTCGGCCGCTTCAAGGTCCTTCTTTCGCTTTTTCTTCTTTTTCTTTTCGACTTTGTCTGATTCGCTTACGGCTGTTGTGTCCAACGTGGTTTCTGGATCGGAATTTGTAGCGATGCTCAATTTACGCTGAAAACAACGAAGAAAACAAAGTGTTATTTTGTGGGTTTTGTCTTTGATGGCAAATGAGTTACCAAGTAAAATTCTTCTTCAATTAAAATTTTCTTTTGAACATTTTAATACGAAAATAGAATACAAAACTCAGCAAGACCAATCGATGTACTAATCATTACAGCTCATAAACACGAAATAAATGGTTTCATCATAAAAAGTGATACATTTTATCACTGATATTCAAAATTGTTTGAGAATTTGTAGCAATGACTTACTTTGTCGGCTTTTTTCGTTTCTTCAGTGGGTTCGGTCTTTACACTAGCACCATTGCTAAGTGCACTGTAGTCCACGTAACCGGTGAGCCATTCGGCGGGTGTGTTTTCATTCGGTCGTCCATATTTATCCAATTTACCGGCAGCAACAAGGGATTTTTTCTGTGATGCCTTCGGACCAAGACCCCATTTGCGTGGATACAAATCACGATCCATAATAACACGCTTAATCTTGGCACATACTCCATGGTCACAACTTGACATTGTGGCGGTGGTCATTTGGGCAATGGCTGTTTTGAAAAATGGAAATGGAGGCATTTCGAATGGGATTAGATTAGAAATACTCAAGAGATATTGTGAAAAAAAATTAAAATTTAAGAGAAATTTGAAACAAAAATTGAGAAATGTTTTAAAAAATGAATGGAGAAGAAAGAAAATTTATACAAATTTGAGGAAAATTGAAGAAAAAATTGAAATTGCATGAGAAAAATTTGAATTAAATGCAAAAAAATTGAGATTAATTAGAAAAAATGGGGAAAAAAATCAAAATAAAGTGAAAAATATGGGGAATCAATGAAAATTTGAGCAAAATAGAATAAAAATAAAAACTGAAGTAAATTTTGAACTTCAGAGTTCATTGTATCGATCATTTTGTTTGAAAATAAAGAGAATAAATAAACTTTGAAAACAACAATTGAAAAAATGAGAGAAACGATTGATGTCCACTTTGTTTTTTTTTAATCGAAATACAATAGATGGTCAATTTAGTTGATAAAATCAAAGAGTTCTTGAAATAATGGAAAATTTTCAAACTGATAAGCAAAAAATCGATGAATTTTGTCTTGAATTATCCAAAAGAAAGATCTATTTGAAGAAGAAGAAAATCCCTTACCCAATGCAATAGCTTCGCCTTTAGTGGAAATAACAACGATTTCCTCATCAATTTCGATGCCATCTTCATATCGCAGTACACCAGGCAGCATAATTTTGGCACCGTAACAAACCGCATTGACCGAACTGTCTTTCATTACAATACGCTTATTTTTAATAAGTAGGCCCTCCAGTGGCATAATGACGCGCCGCAAAAGGCTTTCATCTTTATGATTCTCATACAGATACATAGCATCCAAGACATCGTGCATGGTAACTAGGCCATCACCTTCGGAAATGATACCAGAACGAACACGACGCAGTTCCAACATTTGACCTCCAACACCTGAGAAATGTGATAATCGATTCGTTGTAGTTGGTTGTTGAGAGGTAATACAAATATTGATTTTTTTTTAAATATAAAATCAAATTTGAACCCTTAATGGGTTTATTTGATAAAAATGATCATTTGGTAAGAAAAAATCTAAAACTTAATCCGATAAAAAAAAAACCGACTCAAAAATCGAAGAAAAAAATTGAACAAATTCTCCTTGAGACAAGACAAGGCGAAAAACTTCTTTTAGAACCGAAAAAAAATCCCATAACTAAATCCATTATCCACTCACCCAAAATCAATCCCAAGTGCACGCACATTGTCCGAATGTACGAACCAGCTTCACAGCTCACCCAGAAAACGCCCATATTCCGTTCAGTGTCATAATCCAAAAGTTTGCTATCATAAACACTACGAACACGAAGCTGTCTCTTTACGGCCGAAATCAATGGTGGACGCTGGAACAGTGCACCTCGCAGTTTTTCCAAGCCTTGCTTCACTTTGGCTACCGATTCAACGGCCGAATGCAATTTAAATACAGCAACATACTCTTTACCGGCGCTTTGTTGTGACTTGGCCAATCGTGTTGTTCGGTCGATGCAAACAATGAGACAACCTATGAAAATGGAAGATTGTGATTAGAAATTGCGTTCGTACTGTCTGTGTTGGTAAATAGAATATGGTTTTTTTACTCAGTAAGACCAATCGATATAAATAATCACGATCCATCATTTACAAAAAAATAACGATGTTCATCATAACAATTGAGATATCAATGGATAGCCAGAAGAAGAAAAAAAAACTCAAACAAACCTGTGACTTTTGGATCCAATGTGCCGGAATGTCCGGTTTTCTCGCATTTCAAAATCCGTTTAATCCAGGCGACAATCTCGTGTGAGCTGGGATTCGATGGTTTGTCCAAATTAATGTAACCATACTTAATGTATTCACGAATATCACGGCACAGTGGCGACGAACCGAACGGCAACGGCGTATAATGATTGGTACGAACATTTAATTTATCAATATTTTTCAATAGCAATGGCCATTGTGATGTGTCCAACGATGCAAGCTTCTCCGATGCTTTCACTGCTACGGTACCGTTGGCCTGTAATTCACCCAAATCATCGACGGGCTCATCTTTGATTTTCTTCTCCTTCTTCTTCTTTTCCTTACGAACTTCTGTGTGTGTGTGGAGAAAAAAATGCGAATGGCATTGTTTTAGTTAATCTGTGTGTTTTTGTTCAACTTGGAATGGTTTTAAGGTTAGGTTTTGAAAAAATGCTCAAAAAATCCGGAAAAGTGGGAAAAAATGCATGATTTTGGATAAAAACGAAGAAACGACGTGAATTTGCAATTTCTGAAACAAACGCCGACGAGATTGAATGAAAAACGAGGAAAATGTGTGTGAACAAGTTTCGTCTAGCAAACACATGTATAGATCATTAGTATGGACCATGAGGTTGAATAGCGGAATACTTAAAATATACACAAATCCAAACAATTTCAATGATTTTCCACCGAATTTCACACTTTCTTCACATTTTTCCATAACAATTACCAGAATAACAATAGAAAATCGATTAATTTTACCTGTATCAGTCATTTTTCTGCGGTTTTTTTCCGACCTTTCGTTCAAAAGATAGCAATGTGCTGTATGGTATAGATAATGCCGAGATATATGTGTGGCTCAGTGCACGTGTTTACGCACAATGTCTGTCTCGTTTGATTCGGTTGTGATGACAGCATGGAATTGACTAGTGGCGCCACAGTGCTGTTTCGTTTTTGGGCTACGAGCCCAATTCACCACAATCATATGTCATGTGTGTGTATGTATGTTGAAAACAACCACTGTCGCTGTCGTCGATGATTAATACCAGCAGCGTTTTGACAGTTGAATGCCAAACGAAGTTATAGATTTTCTTATTATCTTTTTATTGTGTGTCTCTCTGTCACTACGTACTGTACAATGGAAATATTTAATTTGTAGTGCAATTGAGATAGGTATTATTTGTTGTTTTTGTTCAATGGCCATACGTCTGGAGCGCATTTCTTTTGCATCGAATCGAATCGTCAAAGACTCCGTTTTAATGTAGTGTAGAGATTGAAAATCAATTGGGATCAATTTTAGTCGATATAGAGAGTTCTTTTTTCTTTGCTTTATGTGTTATAAAAAAAAAAATTTGCATTAGAGAAGTGAAAAAAAAGGGTGAATAAATTGGTTGGTGAATGTGTGTATATGTTTGCACTGTATGTATTGGAAGTGATAGGGCTCGAGAGTCTAGATTAATCCGCATATTTTGTTGAATTTATTTTCGCGTATGAAAAAAAAAATTGTTGTTATCAAATCATATTTTTCGCAGTGGATTTGTGGATTGTATGACATTTCTGCATAGAAATCGTCAAAAGATTGAAGAAAAAAAAAACGTTTCTGTGTGTGCATTGCAAATTTCTAAGCAATTGTGTTGGTGTTGAATGTTTTGGAGCATTTTTTATTCGTCTCAATGAATACGGACGAATTGCTTGTGCAATTGGATTTCGACGAAACCAATGTGAATCATCATTCGCAACAGCAACAACAGCAACAGCAACAGCAGCAGCCACTCACTTCAATCGATAGTTTAAAGCGCTTGCAACGACCTTCGTCACCGCCGTTAAACACATCCGAACCAATTCTGACGAATTTCCTACTGCCCAACGGCGATAACAAACCGGCTGATGCTCTCAATACATCAACACATCATCATCGCCGAGCGTTCAGTGATGACAATGCTCTGGCAACAGTGACACAAACAATATCATCCCAATTACAACATTCCAGTAATTTAAAAATAAAACCAGCCGAAAATCTCAGCTTGATTAATTTATCGCGATCTCATTCGTCGGTTGAAGACGGCAACGACAACGACGACGACGCCGACCAATCGATCGGGCATTTGGAGCCAACCACACAAATTATAACGACGGCTAACGGTGACGGACCAAGTCAAAATCATCATCATACCGGCGACGATACCGTTGAAGTGAGCCTATTAGCTGATCTGAGCATGGATAGCCGGGAATCGCAACCATTGCTTGGCATCGGACGTGATACACATGATTTTGTCTACAATAATTTTCCAGGTAAGAGATCATTTTAATCAAGTGATGTGAGTTCATTGAATTGGATAGAATAGAGTCGAATTCAAACATGTGTTTTAAGATTGCTGAGCATCTCAGCATTTCGTAAGGCACGGATATATCCGAGCATAT